TGTTGGATTTTTTTTTTTTTTTAAATGTTTGAAAGCATAGTTTTATGGTAGTCCTTCGGGGAAGAATCCAGTATTATATAAAATGATTGGCTAAGTTAAATGTATTTTACATAACTGAACGTTTTCGGAATGTTGAAACGTAATTGAAGAGAACAATGGGTGAATGTTTAGGCCGAGATAATTTATTTGAATAAATCTTTCAAAAGCCTTACCTTGAAATGCTGTTAGTAAATTTCTGTGATTTTTAAAAAAAAAAAATGGTTTTGTTTTGCTGAGAGCATAGCTATTTGTTTTTATTGTAAAACAATAATAATAATAAAAAGCAAACTCTTCTAGTGTGCTGTGTGTGGCTGGACGCTAAGGTAGTTTTCATCAGAGGTGCCAAAGTTAGACCGCACTTTGATTCTCTGTGTACCGTTTTTGGAGAGTTTTTCCCATCCTTACACCTTGCAGGTGGCACACATTAACGATGACCCTAATTCCACGTGTTCTTAGTTGGAGACGTGTGGAAGGAGAGAATGGTTGAGACACAGTAGAGGGTCCTAGGACCTTGGAATATAGCAACACGACCGTGATCAAGGCGTAGACCTGCCTTCCATAGCTTAAAATGACCCAAGAAGAGCAGTCCTAAATTCACCCATAGGTTTTGCAATTGGACAGCAAAGGATCCTGGGCCCCATACAGTCTCTCGGTTCTTGTCGCTTCTTGGGGGCGTCTGGGACAGATGCTAAGGGCGGTGGCGGGAGGCCAGGCCAGGGTCTTGTTACATTGGGTGGGGTCCCGTCCCCAGCCCATTATATCTTCCGTGTCCTGGCTGTCCCCGGGCTCAGGGCGCCTGCCCTGTGCTCAGCCACCCTCGTTTGGAGCTGAGGGCAGGCTGCTGGTTCAGGCTTGTCGGCTGAGAACAAGGCGCCTGACCGGGCGGTGTGGTGAGCGCTGGTTGGGTTGCCCTTGCCCTCTGCCCTCTTCTGCCCTCTCTGGGCTCTTCTGCAAGTGGTCTGTGTTGCTCCCTCCATTGTCCTGCGGGCCTTGTTTTGTTGACATCTTAGTTTCTCCTCAGTAGCCCCCCGCTCCCGAAGTTTGAGGCTCGTCCAAACCACAGAACAGTGGTCCTTGTGAATGTCTTGTGTGGCTATAAATCCGAGGTGTCCAGGTGGCTGCTTGGACCTAATTTCCCTCCCACCGGAGCGGTATAGACAATGTGTGCTCTCTTATCTTTAGCCAGCAGATGTCCCCTCGGGGGTGGAAAGCAAGCCGAGTGCTGAAGTGGGGAGCCAGGCCCTGCTGCCGAGCTTGTCCAGGAGTAACCGCCTGCCTGCGTGGAAGGCCCTTCATCACCTGGAAGCCTCTGTCTCTCATCTCATCGCCCCTGCTCCTGTTAGGTTAGAAGTGGTTCCAACCCGACTGCACATTAGAAACACTCCTGGAGCTTCTAGAAGCCGTGATGCAGGAGTTCTGCCTCCATGTTCCTTGTTCTAATTGAATTGGTCTTTCCCTGCACTCTTTGCCCCCGAATGCTTCCTGACTTCCATTTTAAGGGAGATAAGGCAAAGATACCTGTTGGTTTTACCTACAAAACTCACTCGAAAGTTAGGAAAGAACACTAGAAGATGGCCCGTTTTTAGGGGAAATTCAGGTAGACAAAGTCATGGTGTCCTTTGACTTCTGTCTCTGTCCTGGTTTGCCCCCTTGACCCGTGTCCTGTCAGGTTTGTGGCCACGACTGCAACCTTGCCGTGACGGAAGATGGTGGTGGGCAGCCCCCTGCGGATAGGTCGGGGGTGAGGGTTGCGGGTGGAAAAAGCACTGGAAGGGAGGCTCGGCCCCGGCGGAGGAAGGCCTAGGGTGCCTGATCAGTTCTTGCACACAGCCTCTTGTGAGTCCAGGCTGTCTGCAACAGGCCTGTCCTGCCACCCCTACTAAATCTGAAACACCCTTTGGGGTGCCAGCAAGAGCGCCTCCCTGGCTGGCAACTGCCATTTGTTGGTGCGTGGAGAGGAGTCCGACGAGCTGACCTCTTCCCGGCCCTCCCGTCTCCCTGGATGGCTGTAGCACCACCGACTGCTTGGCTGACAAGCGATCCTTGTGTGGACACCACACAGGGACTCTGCTGGGCTGTGTCCCCTCTAGGTCGCAGCCTCGAGCACTTGGCTGGTTTTTCCAGCAAAAACCTGGTAAGCTTAGGGGAGAGGTGGTGGGGCCCGCAGCCTGGAGGAGAGGAGAATCAGGCTCCCGGTGCCAGGCTGTGCGGACCTCAGGCACCCTGTGCGATTCGCCTGTGGTGGGTGCCCCGTATCCGGGCACAGGAGGGGAGATTTTTAAAGATGTCCGAGTGGATGGGTGTGGCCCCTCGGGTGCAGAAGGCCCAGGCAACTTGGCCTCATTCTTAGGACCACCCATCCCCCCCTGTTGCAGAACCACTGGTTCAGAAGAAACAAGTTCCTGTCTTAGCGGGAAGTTTGGGATTACCTGCCATTCCATTTATTTCCCCCACCATTTATTTCCCATTTCAGCCCTCAATTCCACCCTCCTCCCGAACCAGCTAGGTGAGGAGGAGCCGGGGCCAGGAGGAAGAGGGCATCCACAGGTGGGCATGGCCGATCGCTGGGCCCTCCTTGCTCCTAGGTGGCTGTGCTCAGCTGGCTCCCCTTGGTGGCCGCACTGAGGGGGGAGGTGGATATGGAGAAGGTCTGGGTTTTGGGGGGGAGGGAGGGGTGATGGGGGTGGGGAGAAGGTCCTTATCTGGTACCTACAGCCCTACCCACCAGCCTCCCCAGTGTCTGTGGCCCAGTTAAACCCTTCCTTCCCCTCCTGTCAGAATGAAGCCCGAGGGTGAGAGACTCAGAATACAGACAAACATTCTCTTTATTGAGCTACACATGAATTTTCCATTAGTCAGAGAAGTAGACTGGCAGTGTGTAAGATATCACAGAAACCTCACCGATTGGGAATAGAAAGGCTTAGAAAGACCCGTGGGCTTTTTTTTTTTTTT